TAATTTGGTCCAGTTTACCCGGTCAAATGCCTTCTGCCAGTCTATGAAGCAAACACACAGTTCTTCATCTATCTCCAAAGTTCGTTCCGCTATAATTCTCATCATCCCAATTGCATCCCTGGTTCCTTTTCCTCTTCTAAATCCAAACTGATCTTCTCCAAGTACATCCTCTATTTTCCCTTCAATTCTTCTTTTAAGTATCTTTGCTATTATCTTTGCTGTATGTGCAATAAGACTTATTGTGCGATGGTCGCTGCATTTTGTAGCTTACATTTTAATTCCTGGATCACACAATTCGAAAAGTTTCAGCGATATTCATACCGAATGATAGTAACTGCAACAGACCTGGGCAACTTTACACCAGTAAGTACGCACTTTCTTTTTCCTTGACACTACAGCCCCAGTGGGCCTAGGCCTACCTCCATGAACTTCTCCGTTCACTTCGGTTTTTCTAGATCTTACACATTCGGCAGGACTTCTTGGGCGGGTGATCAGCTCGCCGCAAGGCCTCTACCTGTACACAAACACAGAAAAATGCACACACACAAACTAAAAATCCATACCCTGAGTGGGATTCGAACCCACGATCCCGGTTTGCAAGTGAGCAAAGACAGTACATGACTTAGACCGCTCGGCTACCGTGACCGGCAAGTACGTACTTACTGTGACATATTACTCATGAGAGGAAGAACTACGAGTACTAAAGGGGGGGGGGTGTATTTAATAGCAGTAGTTCAACATATGTCGACTATTGAAAGAAAAGCAGTGTCGTTTCTTAAGCAAGAATTTTCTTGTTCTGTTTCAAACCAGTATTTTTGACCCCAAGGATTATACGATTATTACAGCTGGATATTCTGTTGTGTTTAATTAACAAGCTTATAGGAGCAAATTGGCGAGGGTGGGATAAATGCATAGACAATTCTGGCTGAAAACTATGAAGGGAAGGGACAAATTGGGAGATTTCTTTTTATTGCTAGTGGGGTGGGACTAAATACTCTGTACTGCGGCCACTTCCGGCCTATTGTATCAGCCCCAGATGATAGGTGAGGGTGATTGTGGAGCAATTGGTGGACTGAAGATTGGCAAGGGAAATCCAAGTACTCGGAGAAAACCTGCCCCAGCGCCACGTTGTCCACCAAAAATCCCACTTGACCAGACGCGGGATCGAATCCGGGGCGCCGCGATGGGAATCCAGCGACTAACCGCTTGAGCTATGGCGCGGCCACTTGGGAGACTTAGGCGTAGAACGGAAAACTATGTTGTCACGTGTTGGGGTTGTGTGACTATAGACGGGACAGGGATTGGCTATTGCATTCATTAACCACATGTAAGCACCACTCAAAACTACACTTTACAGATCACTGACATACACATATAGTTTAGTGTCCTCAGTCGAGTCCTGACAACGGCTTCTATCGAGGGAGACTCTTCAGCTTCCCTCACTCAGGTCCACTCATCCCCCCCCCCCCGTGCAGAATTCTTTACAACTGACGAACTCAACTGACTAGGTCCCAGGCTGGCGGCCATGTCACACCAACCTCCTACTCTTCTTTTCACAGGCTGACCTTCAACTGAATTGACAAATGAACTCTTTCATTCACCAACCAGCTACTTCACGTCACTTCACTCGACTGCACTGCTGGCAACTGCAACAAGCAACTGCTTTACTGTCCAAGTCCAAGTCACACTGCGACTGACGTTCAGTCAGTCAGTAAGTCTTGGTTCCGAGCTGCGTCTGGAGCTCATGACCAGATATTTATTACTGTTTGGCATTTACGGTCTTGTTTTTGTGGGGCGCCCTCTCTGAGGAGAGGACGGGTCTGCCGTTTGTATATGCTGCTGGCACTTGCCAGTGCAGTCTTTCTTGGGTCCGAGTCCCTTGGGACTCGCGACCATATTTTATTGTCTCAGATTTGAGACTTCCTTTTTCATCGCCTCCTACGACTCGCAGGGTCACGGTGGAGGTATTCGACCCCGCCTCCACACGGGGGACTGCTTCAAACCGAACTGCTTATAACATCTCGACATGTTCCATCTCAAATGTGATCGCTCTAAGGCATGAACTGTCTTCGCTCGCTCGAACGCTGGGATCGTGGGTCCGAATCCCACACGAGGCATGGATGTCTGTGCCCGTTTATTCTGTCTTTGTGTTGTTCTGTGTGTAGGTAGCGGCCTTGTGAGGGGCTGATCCCCCGTCCAAGGAGTCTTACCGACTGTGTATAGGATTAAGAAACTGAAAATGCGGCCAAGATCCAATAAAAGGACTCTAGAGCCATAAATAGATGTTTATATTAAAATTTAAGATTAATTTGCAAAGTTAGGTTATTATTAATTTGAAAACGTATGTTTTAAGCCCGATACATGGGTGGTTAGGAGGTATGTACTATGTTATTTCAGGCCATTTCACAAAAACTTTTTTTTTCTTACGGAACGCTGTCAAAGTGTAATAAATTTAAAATTAATTTCAGTCAATTTATGCAGCCTAGGAAAATGATGAACGAGCCCTGGCCAGTGACGGAACATACAATAATACTATGCTAATCTTCATTATTTGTTGAAACACTTCAAGAAGAAAGGCACCTTTTCTAAAAATGAATATTTCAGTTCTAATTTGTATCTCAATGGCGGTTATTTAGAGGTATGATAAATGTAAGCTTTCCATTATGTAAAAGTAAAGCTAGGCTCATAGGGTTGTGAGACGTCGAGGCTCCCATATTCTCTTTAGACAATCGACACACAGATGGCGGTAAGGTTGTCAGCCTTACGCGTCGGCCGCCCTTTACCTCCCAGAAGATTCCCGGTACTCATTTCTGTTAGACGCCGAGTCGCCCACAGGGCCATAGTGCGGCTGGAATGATTAGGTCAGTTGAAAAATCTACCTCATCGGGAGTCGAACCCGCGACCTTCGGCTTGCAGCATACTGCCTCAACGAACTACGCTACCGCGTGCCCCCAAGCTTTTCAATGCGGTATCATATTTCGAAATTATAATCCTTGTATTCAAAACATATTTCTACATTGAGGGTACATAACAATCTTACAGGTCTGGTTTCGTATCGTCCAAAACGTACATAAAATTAAAAGACCTCTTGATGCGATAATTGTCAATTGATAATGAATTGAGGAAGAGGCTGAGAAGAATCGAGTGGACTAACACTTTTTCACCGTTACGCGACTTCTTCAATGTCACGGCACAAACATAACGACGAAATGTTCTTAAGATATAGAAGGGGATCAGAATGGAGAGGTCAGCGCGTGCGCATGCGGCCATCATGGATTCAACGACGTCATCAGCTTGAAGAATTTCTCCGCCAATGGGTGATCATGAACAGAGAGGGGTTGTCCCCTTTAGCCAGCATAAGAAAACAATCTCTGCAAGACTCCTGGAGGATGTAGGCCGCATATAAAAGGCAAGAATAGGCACAAGCAACGTCACTAACAGTCAGTGTCGACGCGCGAGGATGGCGCGGTGCACCAGAGTAGCCTTGAGCTTGTTGTGTGCTTCGGCCTGCCTGCATATCGGTAAGTGCCAGTGCTCCTAATACCAAATGTTATTTATAATCGGATATTATTAGTTCCTACGCGCGAGCCAAACAACCCCATATTAACGCTAAAAGTGTGAAATTCAGTCACCCCCCCAGCGAAGTGGTCACAAGGAAGACGAAGAGAACAGCATGAATATCAAGCATCATAGAAACAACGAATCTTGTGTTGTTCACGTTACAAAATAACTAATCGGTGTGAAAAAAAACAAGGTAAACATGGTAATTTCAACGGCTGTTAAGAACACAAACCTCACTGAAGTAAATGGACCACAAATGTAAGCGCTCCTATACACAATCAGAGTTTTATTACTATCTTATTCAAGCGTGTGTGATATTACGTAATGTGCATATTTTATAATGAATGCCCCTAAAATATTTCTTAAACTGTGGGCTGTATGACAGAATCTGGGGCATTTATCTTGAATAATAAATTTCGCAGAACGTCATAACAAGGCTATATGTAAATACTGCATATATATATCATGGCAAATTTCCTCGACGGCTTAAATTAAAATAATTATTTCTTAAAAACTGTACGGACAAACCTTAAGTATAATTAATTCCGTTAACTGGGTCTGGTCGAAAACAACATGTCGGCTTTTGTAGACAGCTAAGTGCCATTTTAAGGTGTGGTAGACCATCGCGTGAAAGTAACTTGTCTTGTGTCTGCCTAGAGTAGAAACGCCGTTCGACCTGTTCTTTGTATTTTTCCACCGACACACTTCGAGAAGTCCGGCTTGCTCGGCTTCATGCAACGATTGTCCAAAAAACAGTGCAATCCTCTTTACCTTCGTTTACCTACAATTACATAAATGTGCAGTAAATTTTTAAGACACACGGAAACCTGGGCAGACTTGAAAGGATTCTGACGATGGTGTATACTGTACTTCTTTTGGCTTATTTTGGACTTCACCCATCGTCTGGTATGTAAAAGACAAATGACCACGACGTTTCGGAGGCTGGATCTGTCTCCGTCTTCAGATAGTCTTCGCAGATAGTACTTAGAAACGCCATGAATGCTCACAACATTTCATACAGCCACTGAGTTCAAAGTGAAATTTTCGAGAACAATATATTAGTTGTAAAATATACACAAGACAATTCTCCTGCTTCTCTCTTGCTACAGGAAACACGGCTGAGACTCACTTCCGTTCTAAATAAAAAACGTAATCCTGAGAAACGTCCATGAATATAAGAGGAAGCTCCTTAGCGATTGGCGAAACGACATCATTAAGCGGAATTACTCTCTTCCATATAAATTAATAGAAACTTAAGAAATACGTATAAATATGCAGTACATGAACGTGGCTTCCGGGTAGATTGTCAGCGTGTATTTGGATCTAGTAGTAGAAACCCGTTACCCTTCATACTGTCACGTGGTTATGGCTCCGTGACCAATAATAACGGATTCTGGATTGGATGACTGGATTTACTGACAGCTTCTCAGTCAGTCGTAATCACAACCAATCTTCAGCCGAACCCTTCTTCCTTGCCTGTCGAGGACTCGCCCCAGTCTCGTTCTCGTTCTACAATTCACTGTTCACTTGGAATTCCGCGTTATATAGCCTCGGGGCGGACCCCAGGGAAAACGAAGTTTCAACAATTCGTATAGGTGTTTACCGCTCCATTGATTAAAAATTTACGTCCTTTATTGTCGCGTATTGTTGTATGCATTACCCAGCAAAGGTTTGTTTACCAAGAATCTGTCTTCGCCGGAACGTGTTTATCGATCCGTTGCCTAGTCATGGATCTATACGTCACAATATATTTCGGGAAGCTGATAAACACAAAAGAGAAATATGATACAAGGCGAGACCGAAGGACTAGAAAGAGGGTCTTCAAGGAAGACAGAGTGGGAAATGAATGAGGCCATGTCACCTGTCCAGGTACATGTGCAGCGAGATGAAAGTTTGGCGCCGCCCCTAGCCAACACCATTGTTCAAGTATCCCTCTTATTTCTTATTATTTATGTTCTATTTACTTAAGCTGGACAATAAAAAGCAGTCACGGCGTCAGAATGACAAGAGATTTTTATACACAATCTGCTATTCAACAAGCTTTGCAGTTTTTTTCTGGACAATGACTGAACACAATTTCAAACATAATTTAAGAGGCCAAATGGGTGACTGTTTTAGAACTACGTGCTATATTCGTAAGAATGCAAGAAGAATGAGATTTCACACCTTATGACGTGTGATATGAACCAGTATTCTGTAGGCTAATAAAACATAACCAAATTCATACAGAATCCATAAAGTCATTCATCCGGCTGCTGGTGAATAATGTTCTGCAATTCGTACATTGACATTCAACTCTTCTTCAAAAGTAAGGAAATCATGCGTTAAAACATGACTAGTAGAAGAAAAATACGTAAAAGTAATTGAAATGCTACGTTATTATTATTCAGTTTCCACAAGAAAATTAATCTATTGTTCAAATTGCCACATGTTACAGCCGACTAACGTCGGTTAGGCCAACCCAGTGTGAAAAATTTAAACCACTTTACAGCCCTCCTGATCGCATCAGATGCACACATTCACACACACACACACACACAAAACAAAGATAAGAAATTATAATCCCACTTTACAGTCTGAAAATAAAATAACGTTTTTGTTATAAATCTTATTTCACAGTCTTCCGCGCAACTATTTATTAACTTAAAATTTTAAAAGTTTAAGTTTTAAATTTAAAATTTTAATTTTAAAGGTCACAACATGTTTCGGTCAATATGACCATCATCAGGTGTTAGAATATATCTAATGAGGAAGTTGCTTTCTGTGTTGTTACTATTATACGCGTAGGTCCCTCGGATGCGCATGCGTGTTTTAGTTAGAGCGTCTTGCTTCTTGCTTCTTCGCAGCTTGCCTCGTTCTTGAAAAAATTACACATGACAATGGAACATGCAAACAAGCATTTAGAATTTTGACAGCAAAATATAATTCGTCAGCGCTATAGGACTAAATTTGTAAAGTGAAAATTTTAAGAACATTAAAAAAATTCGAGCTGAAACTACACACTCTCATTTCATTTAAGCGAATGATTAATGCCTCCTCTGATCTAACCGAACAGAGTAACTGTGGCTCCTGTGGCAATGTTCGGAATACATTACCAGTCCAAAAACAAATTTCGTCTCCTCATTGCTCGGCCTCGACAATTCTACATTTGACTGTCCATATCACAAATCCTGACACGTTATCTGTGCTCTGGTACCAGCAAACGTGTGTTATTGCAGTCCGTGGAACACTGTATTTTGCGAAGCTAACAGTGTCTCAACTCAAAATATTCACCACCTTTTTTAGAAATAAACTATAGATACCATACTCAAAAGAGCCTACAACTGATCCCGCTTCAGTGACAAATAATTATTTGTCACTGATTATAATCCACGTCCGTATAATATTTCGTAATAAGTTAGAGGATCTCTTCTTGTCGGCCGTCCACTATTGTATATTTAGTGTGTTCGTAGCTACCATCCATACCTGGAGGCCTTCTCCTCCATCCGCAATCTGCGGACGTGCCAGGCCGTGGTGAAAGAAGACTGAACTTGGACTATGAATCTATGACCAAAAGAAAAATCTTATTCTTAGTGACAAACGTATAAACTATCGTCAGTTTCTTTTTTTTTTAAGGTTTGATTAATTTAAATTGAAACCTACTAGCCTGTAAGTTCAGAGCTTTAACTGGGACTAATAAACAGGAAGTGTAAAAGCCGGCTTTTACTTTCAGTATTAAGTAATTGTTGCTTGTTGTTTTGGTAAAGATATAAATTCGCTAACATTTTTACATCTGAAAGCTAAAATCATATAATTATTTTAAAACGCTGTTCTATTCACAACATTTGGAAATGCCTAACATATGCATATCGTTATAGCTTCAAGAATTTTAGATCAGACATAATTCTCACCTTTAAATGCATTATAGGTCTAGCAGTATTTGAAGAGACATGAGTCTAAGCGAATGATAAAACATTTATGTTAGTAATATTTATTTGCAAAATCATCTTTCTGTGGAATACTTTTGCGGGTTAAAACATGAAAGCCGGAAGACTTGCACAAAACCACACTACCAAACGGCTAAGTAGTGAGACCAACTGACTCAACTCAACTTGAGACTGACTTTCTCTTAGTGACGTGAAGCAAGGCTGCCTGCTACAACGCCTAACTCTGGTCTGAGCACTCGACTTGCGTAACTGTAGGTGCACGAACTCTCGGAAGTAGCGACACGGTAGCTTATACAGAAAAATAATATTCCGTAAATCAAATATTCCGCTGACTTCTATTCACAGGACCCGAGAAATTAAGTTTCTTCGCTATGTAACTATAAAACTGTGTAAATGTGGTTTCTGTCGTTCCTCTACAGTCAGATTTTGAAGATTTTCGGACTTTAACTCGGTAGCCAGAATTCATAACATGGAAATTAAATGAAGTTACGAAATGTATGCAGAGTGTAACAGTTCTGACGCATTGTGTCACACTATTATTACCAGTAGATTTTATAAATAAACTTTTCCTAACTACCACGACATCCCTGCTTCATTCATTTCATTTATCAATGGTTTTACGGCCCTTTCTTGGGTCCCACACTCCTCAGTTTCGTAATCATTTTACACAGACAGTAGGACTCCTTGGACGGAGGATCAGCCTGTCGCAAGGTCGCTATCTACACACAGAACAACAAAAACAGAGAATAAAAGCACACAACGATATTCATGCCTTGAGTGGAATTCGAACTCACGATCCCAGCGTTCAAGCAAGCGAAGACAATTCATGCCTTAGACCGCGCGGCCCATCTGATCGGCATGACACCCATAACAGTCAGTGGAAATCTGTACAGGGCACAATGTAACGTACACTCAAACCACTTTTCGCTTCAATAAATGCGTAAGATGCCTCCCGAAAGGCACGTAGATCTTCAAGTAAAATATTTGCTATGTTTGCCACTTAACGAAACTTGCAATATTTCAATACGTTTTAG